TCACAATATACATTAATGATTTAGATGAAAAAATTGAATGTCATATCTCTGAATTTGTAGATGATACTAAGCTGGGTAGCAGTGTGTGCTGTGAGGAGGATGTTAAGAGGCTGCAGGTTGACTTAGACAGACTGGCTGAGTGGCCAAATCTTGGAAAATGCAATATCATGTGGATAAATGTGAAGTTATCCACTTTGGTTGCAAAAACTGGAAGACAGATTATTATCTGAATGGTGGAAGTTTAGGAAAAGGTGACGTACAACAAGATCTGGGTGTCACAGTGGAACAGTTGCTGAAGGTTGGCATGCAGGTGGTGAGGAAAGCACGCTAGCCTTCATAACAAGAAGATTTGAGTATAGGAGTAAGGATGTATTGCTGCAGTTATACAAGGCCTTGGTGAGGCCACATCTTAAGTATTGTGTGCAGTTTTTGTCTCCTGGTCTATGGAAGGACATTCTTGCTATTGACGAAGTCCAGTGAAGTTTCATTGGAATAATTCCTAAGGTGGTAGGACTGACATATGAAGTATGACTGGATCAATTGGGCTTGTACTCGCTGAAATTTAGAAGAATGAAGGGCGATCTCATAGAAATATATAAAATTCTGCTAGGACTGGACAGGTTAGATGCGAGAAGAATGTTCCTGATATTCAGGAAGTCCAGAACTAGGGGTCACAATATAAGAATAATGGATAAGCCATTCAAGACTGAAATGAGGAAGAATTTCTTCACTCAGACAGTTGTAAACCTGTGGAATCCTCTACCACAGAAAGTTGTTGGGGCCAGTTCATTAGATATATTCATGAGGGAGCTGGTTGTGGCCCTTGCGACTCAAGTGATCAAAGGAGAAAGTGGGAATTGAATACTGAAATTGCATAGTCAACCATGATCATATTGAATTGTGGTACAGGCTTGAAGGGCCAAATGGCCTGCTCCTGCACATATTTTCTATGCAAAAGAGTTTACCAGAATGTTGCCTGGATTATAGTGAATTAGCTTTAAGGAGAGTTTAGGCAAGCTTGGATTGTTTTCGCTAAAGCATTAAAGGCTGAGGAGCAACCTGATAGAAGTATATAAAATTATGAGAGGGTTGGATAGAGTGGATGGTTGGGAGTCTTCCAAGGTGGTAATCTCAAATACTGGGGGCATAGGTTTAAAGTGAGAGGACGGAAGTTTAAAGAAATGTGCAAGGCCAGTTTTTTTACACAGACAGTGGTAAGTGCCTGGAATACACCACCAGGGAAGGTGGTAAAAGCAAATACAATTGTAATATTTAAGAAGCATTTAGACAGAAACACGAAACAGGCAGGGAATGGAAGGATACAGACCATTTGCAGATAGATGGCATTAGTTTATATTGGCATCATGGTTGGCACACATATGGTAGGCCAAAGGGCCTGTTCGTGTGCTGTACTAATTTATGTTCTATGAATTCATGGTGTCAGTCTTATATTGAGAAGAATATACAGAAGAATATATCAGTTCATGTTTCCATTTGTTCAACATTTGAAAGAGTTTACTATTGCTGAAGGGTTGAAGACCTTTTTGGAGTTTGGCATGTTCGAAGTGGTTGGTGGGAAGTGATAAAGTAGAAACTAGAATTTGTCCTTTTAACACAGTTAGTAATATATCTTTTTCAAATCTTTTGGTTTGTGCCATTTAAGGGACATTCCAAACACAGAATAAAAGAGTTATTGGGCATAACTTTGAGAGTTTAAAATGTAAAGACCTAAACAAAAGAGAAAACAAAACTGGAAGGACATTACAACAAACAGCATACAATTTCATAGCACAATAACTTACTTTGTTGCCTCATTAAGTTATTTGCACACAGGAAGCAGAGTTTCTCTCCGCTATGGTTCCATTAACAGTTTGGTTTGAATCCAAGTCATTAGGTTGTGGGTTCAAGGTCCACGCTAGGGAAAGAAATTAATTGTCCCAGGATGGGTCTTAGCAGAGAATCTCGAAATGGCCAGAACTTCAGCTTGCAACGGAACTGGAATTGCATGGTGACAAGCCAACTAAAATGCAGAGGCACAGGATACGCACAATTATGCACTGGGATCAAGAAGTCTCCAAACCTGCTGTCTGACTGGCACCTTTTCAGTAGCTCCCAAAACATTGTTCACACCAATTGAGCCACATTTCATAGAGGGAACATTGTATGAACATGTACAGTACTGACAGCAGCATATATGTAACTACAGTTGAGGGGACTATCTGTCTTTGTCTCTCAACTCAACAGTGTCACCGTGACCTCAGCCATCCTTTCTGCCACTGACCCCAGGGCTGTCACCATGACCTCAGCGCCCTCTCTGCCATTAACCCCAGGCTGTCACCATAACATCCATCCTCTCTGTCACTTACCACAAGAATGTCGCCATGATCTCAGATGCTGTCTCTGTCATGCACCCCCAGAGTGTCATCATGACCATAGTTGTTCCCTTGTCACTGACCACACAAGTGGCACCTGACATCAGCCAGTCACTTGCTTATGCAACCAGGACTATCTCTGTGATCTCAGCCATCCACTGTGGTCTTGATACCAGGAGAGTTCCCTTAACCTCTGCCATCCTCTCTTCACTGGTCACAGGTGTGTTCCTGTAATCAATGCTTTTCTTTCTATTACTGACCTCAGGAGTGTCATCATGATCTCAGTTGTCCTCTATGTCACTGACCACAAGTGTGTTATAGTGACCTTAGCCCTCCCTCCTAGTCACTATGACCCCAGGACCGTCATCCTGACTTCAGTCTCCCTCTTTGTCATTGAACCCAGGAATGTCATCATGACCACAGCTGCCATCTGTATCACTGACTTCAGGAGTGTCACAGTGACCGCAGCTGTCCTCTCTGTCACTGACATCATGAGTGTCTCCTTGGCCTCAGCTGCCCTCTCTGTCACTGACTCCAAAAGTGTTACAATGAGCTTTGCTGTCCACTTTGTCCCTGACCCCACCGAAGTCCCATGACCTCAGCTTTCTTCTTTGTCACTGACCACAGGGGTGTCATCATGACCTCAGCCTACCTTTCTATCACCATTACCTCAGGATTTTCATCATGACCTGAGCTGTCTTCTCTGTCAATATGACCGCAGGAGTGTTCCATGACACAGACATCCTCACGGTCACTAACCCCGGAAATATCCCCGTTATCCTCCCTGTAACTGACCAAAAGGGAGCGTCTATGAACACAGCCACCCTCTCTGTCAGTAGGAGTTGCATGTCAGGAGTGTTCATGCAACCTCAGACACACCACAGGATTGTGACCCTGACCTCAGTTGTCCATAGAATCCAGGATTGTCAATGTGACCTCAACTGTCTTCTTTGTCACAGACCACAGGTGTGTCACCGTGACCTCAGATGCCCGCTATCCCTGACCACAAAAATGCTACCTTGACCTAGCTTCCCACTCATTCACGGACCCAAGCAGTGACATTGTGACCTCAACTGTTCTCTCTCTCACTGACCCCTTGTGTGTCTCTGTGACCTCAGCCATCCACTTGTCCCTGACCCCAGCAGAGACTGCACGTCGTCCACCATCCTTTCATCACTGACCACAGGTGCATCCCCTTGACCTTAGCTGTCCTCGCTCCCACTACGATCTCAGGAGTATAAATGTGACCTATGTCGTCCTCTATGCCACTGACAACTGAGATCTATGATCAGTGGTGTTCTGTAAGGATCAGTCCTGGAACCACTTGTTTGTAATATATATATGAATTATTTGGATGAGAATGTAGGTGGACTGATTAGTAAGTTTGCAGATGATACGCAAATTGGCGGAGTTGTGGATAGAGGAAAGTTATGAAAGGATACAGGACAATATAGATTAGTTGGAAAGTTAGGTGGAGAAGTAGCAGACGGAGTTTAATTTGGACTTGTGAGGTAATGCATTTTGGGAGGTCAAACGCAGAGGAAAGTATACAGTAACTGGTCGGACGCTTGCAAGCATTGATATATAGAGGGATCTTGAGATGCAAGTCCATAGCTCCCTGAAAATGGCAACACAGGTGGATAAAAAGGTAAAGATGATGTACGTTTGCTTGCTTTCAGTTGGTAATTCATGTTGTAGCTGTATAAGACCTTTGTTAGGCTACATTTGGAGTATTATGCGCAGTTATGGTTGTCACGCTATAGAAAGGATGTGGAGGCCTTGGGGAGGGTACAAAAGAGGTTTACCAGGATGTACTGATTTCTGAAGAAGGGTCTCGACCTGAAACATCAGCTTTCCTGCTCCTCTGATGCTGCTTGGCCTGCTGTGTTCATCCAGCTCTACACCTTTTTACCAGGATGTTGTCTGGTTTGGAATGTATTTGTTGTAAGGAGAGTTTGGAAAAACTTGAATTGTTTTCACTGGAGCATTGGAGAGTGAAGGGATGACCTGATTTAAGTATATAAAATTAAAAAAGGATGGACAGTCAGAGTCTTTTTCCCAGGTTGGAAATATCAAATAGTAAGGTTTAAGACGAGAGGGATAAAGTTTAAAGGAAATGTGCAAGGCAAGTTTTTTTTTTACACAGACTTTGTAAGACCTTAGTTAGGCCACATTTGAAGTATTGGGTGCAGTTAAGGTTGCCATGCCATAAATAAAACATGTATGGAGGCTGTAGAAAGGGTGCAAAAGAGGCTTGTGCCTGAAACATGCTCCCAGTGGAGGTGGTAGAAGCAGAGATGGTAGTAATATTTAAGAGCCACTTAGATTTTTGAAAAAGCAGGGAAGAGAGATCTGGACCACGTGCAGGCAGATGGGATTACATTAAAATGACATCATCGTCAGCAAGACGTGGTGGGCAAAAGGGCTCGTTTCTGTGCTATACTGTTTTATGTTCTATTTCCACAAATGTTTCTGTTACACATCCATGATTATAATAATACTACTATTTCCTTGTCCTCAGCCAATAACAATACATACAGAAAGTGACTGGATATGTTATGGATTGGTTCGATGAAACTCAGTATCAATATTACTTTAGAACCTTCCTATAAATACACAGATATTTACCTCAATGAGTCTCTTGTAGCTGCTGCCTTTCTTTTGTGAGTATAAGCTACTATCTGAGCTGCCACATCCATCTGACTAAAACTGGTTATTGCCACTCCAGGGTAGGTGATATATTCTACTTGGCCATAGTTTGGGGGCACTGTTATGACATAGAGCAGCTCTTCGGGCTTGTTTGAGCCATCAGAGGCAAGAAGGACGGCTGTTGTTAAAGTGCCTCGCTCTCCCTTGAAGACGGTCAGTGGTTTTAGTAAAATGGCAATTTCACCTGGGTATAGAACAAAATGATGAGAAAAACTTTATAAAGTTGTCAGACTTGCATGAGCTAAATATTCACATATGTAGCAGTTAATACATATATGGCTGAAGATGCAGTAAGTTAAATGGCAGCAAAGAATGGGTGATTCTTTATGTTACTTGGGTGCACTTATTAATAAACTTGTTGTTTTATTTATTACAAATTTCCCTGAAAGTAATTTACCCTCAATGAATTAATTAAAAATTAATCAAGTAGTAAAATATACAGGGAGTTCTCAGTCTGTGAACAGGTTTCATTCTGAAGTCTGTTTGCAAGTCAAGTCATATGCAAGTCGGAACACAATGCAGGACAATGGAAATCAAGTATTCATAAGTACAGGGAACGTTCATATGTCAGATCTTTAAAATTGCAACCGTGTATTGTGTTCATAAACCAACATTGGTAAATCGGACATTTATAAATCGGGGACGCCCTATATTATTGAAAGTGAGTCGTGTTGTTGATTAACAATGTATCCACTCAATACAGCATTTTACAGCATTTTAATAATCAAGGGAGGTCTGGCCTAGTTACTTACAGGGTATCATATTTACCTGAACCAGAAACTCTGGGTTCAAGTTCCACTCCATGACTTGATGGCCATGAAAGGGGCGCTCAGAATGCAGTCAAATTGGCTAATTGTCAATCTGAAAATTCTTGTGAGATGTCTGTGTAAGTTCGTAAATGGATAATGAGGTGTGTGTGTGTAATGATGCTCTCAAGCTATAACTTCAGGCTTATGAGCCATTTTTGGAAAAACATACTATGAGAAACAGAAGCTACTTTGTTTTCCTTGTGATGGAGGAGATACAAAATAATCAATCAGAAATCAGAAAAAAAATAAAGTAACTGATGGGGAGAAATAAAACTGACCATTAGATATGATTAAATGTAACCATTACTTCCAACAGAATATTCACGAGAAATAAAATTTTCAATCAACAAAAAAAATTATACAAGTTGAGTAGCTAACCCCACAAGATTTCTATGTAATTTATTCCTTCCAGAGCAGTCAAATCTAAATTATAACTTGAGTTTGCACATTAATAAAATCATGTATTTTCTTTAAAATCAATATGAAGTACTTGAACTTCAGACACCACAAATAGTTTATATTATCACACTGTCCTTTTGTGATCCCAACAGTTATTGCTTGAATTGGGCCTTTGGATTCTCACTATATATCCACCTTGGGAAAACATCCAATTATAAAAACAGAAACAAGATAGTTTTGGCTGTATATTAAGATGCAGCATTGTGATTGCTGAATTTTAATACGTCAGAACTTGAATGTGCACTGTGCTGAAAAAACAGTAATTGAAGTTAGTCCATTGTGTGATGCTTGTGTTCCATAATGAGAAAACATTAGGAGGCCATATTCTGATCAAAATCTGAAGCTGTAGTAGTCAATGCAACACCAATGTATATGGCTATGTGGTGATGATATATGATCACAAAGACAGGCAATGGAAAATGGAAAAGTTGTTAACTAGGCTTTACGAATGTTAAATGTATGGCAATAATATCTGAAGGCTTAATGAATTAATTACATACACCAAACATTGACTTTACAAAATAACAGATACCAAAGTTATTTTCACTATTGTTAGGGGATTAAATGCTGGCTTGTCCAGTTGGGCCATAACTAGTGAAATAATAAAACAACATTATTTACACATTATGAAATTAAATGTTCTTATTTTAGAGCTGCAAAGTATCTCTAGATTACTGGTCCTACCGTACCCTTTTCAACGTTTTGGATAGAGATTTGAAAACGGTGGACAAAAGATCTATGATCGCCATCTGACAAGTGGAAATGAAAGCTGTCTCGACCAGTCGACCCAATTGCTCCAGTGTGCATGTATCTCAGCCGGTTCATGTCTATGTCATCCTGGCTACAGTTCATGCCAGGGTGCAGGGGCATCCAGTCTCTGCCTTCCTGATAGAAACAAAACATGACAGCTGTACTGGGGAGAACAACATTGATAATGGAGCATAAATTCTGAGAATAAGAAACCATAGAAGAAGAAAATCAGAGTGTCACAAGTTCAAAGAGTTTCATCACTGAACAGAAAACATGTATCGTTGAACAAAGAACAAAACAGCACAGGAACAGGCCCTTCAGTCCACCAAGATTGCACTGATACATGATGCTTTACTAAACTAAAAACCTTTGCCTCTATGCTGTCTGTATTCCTCTATTCTCTGCCTATTCATTTATCTGTCAAGATGCCTCTTAAACATCGCTATTGTATTCACTTCTACCACTTCCTATGGTAGTGCATTCCAGGCACTTACCACCCTCTGTGTAAAACACCTGCCTCTCACATCTCCTTTAAACTTACCACCTCTTATTTTAAACCTATGTCTTCCAGTAATTGACATTTCTACTCTGGGAAGAAAAGGCTCTTGACTATCCATTCTATCCAGGTCTTTCATAATTTTATAAACTTCCTTCAACATTCAAGTGAAGACAAATGAAGTGTGTCCAATCTCTCATCTTAGCTAATACCCTCCAAACCAGCTAACCAACTAACTACATTCTAGTAAAGTATAAGAGTTGTGAAGTCGTGTTGAGGTTATACAGGATATTGGTGAGGTCTCTTCTGCAATTTAGTACTGGTCACCCAGTTATAGGAAGGATATTATTAAGCTGGAGAGGGTTCAGAAGACATTTACCAGGATGGTGCCAGGTATGGAAGGTTTGAGTTCTAAAGAGGAACTCTTTTCACTGGAGTGCAGGAGGTTGACAGACCACCTGATAGAAGATTATAAAATAATGAGGGGTATGGATAAAGTCAATGGTAGTTGTCTTTTCCCAAGGATGGGGGATTTCAAGCTGAGGGGTATATTTTTAAGGTGAGAGGAGAAAGATTTAAAAAAGACATGAGGGGCAAATCTTTTACACAGAGGGTGGTTCGCGAGTGGAGTGAACTTCCTAAGGAAGTGGTGGATGTGGGTACAATTACAATGTATAAAAGACATCTGGATAAGAACATGAATAGGAAAGGTTTGGAGGGATATGGGCCGGTTGCAGGCAGGTGGGACTAGTTTAGTTTGGGATTATGTTCGGCACGGACTGGTTAGACCGAAAGGTCTGTTTCTGTGCCAGATGACTCTATAATTCTATGACAATAAACTAGGCAGTAAATATTTCATTTTTTTAATATAGTAATACTGTAGATATTTAGAACTTTATTTTATTTAACCTCACCATGGCTCCAGAAGTCGGCCTGCGTTGGACACAGGGTTAATTGACATAGAGGTGTAGGGGAAAATGTCACGGAAATGGACAGGAGCTGGAACTAAGTGTTATAGAGGGTTAGGGAGCCATAGTATGGCCATGGGTTGAAATGGCAAATGAGTAGCATCCGGTGTTGAAAGGTGGCATGGATTCGCATGTATTACTAAGGGTATTCATTCCAAAGAATCAACATAAGCCTTTTACTCAATACGCCTCTGCACCTGGCAGGACCTGGAGCTGCTTTGAAACTGCCTTGAGAGGTTGGTAGGCCCACCTCCATTCCACAGTTGTCTCTATCCTAGAAAGAAGATCTCATTATTCATGGTACTTTCCCAAAGAAACTTCATTCAGACAAGACAAGCTGAACCACCCATTTTGGGAGTAAGAATCTAAGTCATAGAAACTAGTCTCATCTCTGTATAGTTCCAGATATTAAGCACACAAGACAAAGGGGCAATGAGGGTGATGGAGAAATCTTTACGTTTACCTGCACTTCTCCTATGTTTGCCAGGGATTCACTCATGCCATGGGATCAACAGGGTTTGGGGTTTATGATCTGCTTGCACATGACAGGGAAGGACCTTTTTGGATGTAGCAGTCACACACAAGGAGATGATACTTGTGAACACAACACACACTATTAATTATAACTTACAACACAAATCCATAAGGAAAAAATTACTTCTTAGTAGGGATTCACTTCCCAACAGAAAACATGGCATGATCCTTGAAGCAGATCATTAGAAACTGAAAACTTCAGAGTTTGGATGAATTCAATATTTACTGAACCATAAGCAAGAATCTTACCAGCTCAATAGAGATGAGCTAGGAGGTAGAAAATCTGGCACAATGGCAACTGACACACCAGGAGTTTCTGAGGTTCACCTCCAGAAAGATTGACCAACTGAGTGACCAATTAAGGTCCAATTTCTCCTTCTGCACTGGATGACAGATGACCTCCAATAAACCTTGCATCCTTCAAGCAGGACATTGGGAGAAACCCTCCCTTTGGTCTAGTGGAAGTCCCCTGCTATATATTGCCATTCAGACACTTAATAACTTCCTCTCTAATATCCTTGAACCTGATCAACAGTTTCTTCATGACCCTGAAGATCCTTGGTTCCACGTACCCTCTTCAAGGGCACTTAGCTCTCTCCCATCAGCTATTGTTTCAACAATGCCACAATAGGCAGTGACGGTCAGTTACAGAAAGAAAGGGCATGGTTGTTATGGAATGGGGAGTTGGGCTTTTCTTCAAAGTTAGACAAGTTGATCACAGTAAGTTCGATTGGAGACAGCATATATGGTTGCCTTCTCCATTCCTTTTCATCACCTACAGGGCGGCACAGTGGACCAGTGGTCAGCACTGCTGCCTCACAGTGCCAGGGATTTGGGTTCAAATCCACCCTTGGGTGACTGTCTGTGTGGAGTTTGCACATTCTCCCTGTGTCTGCATGGGCTTCCATTGGATGCTCTGGTTTCCTTGCACGGTCCAAAGATGTGCAGGTTAGATGGATTGACCTTGCTAAATTGCTCATAGAGTCCAGGGGTGTGTAAATTTAGAAGGATTAGATATGGGAAATGCAGCCTCAGAGGGAAAGGGTAGGGGGATGGGTCTGGGTCGGATGCTCTTTGGAGGGGCAGTGTGGACTTGTTGGGCTGAATGGCCTGTTTCCACACTGTAGGGATTCTATGAAACTTTCTGAAGAAGGGTCCTGACATGAAACATCAACTTTCCTGCTCCTCTGATGCTGGCTGGCCAGCTGTGTTCCTCCAGCTTCACGCTGTGTTATCTATTTAAGTAAATAGTCTGCTCACTGACAATTCATGTGGCCTCAGCGTATCATTAGATGCAAGCTACCCATGTATGCTAGGGCTGTACTTTTGGGACCATGAGTTAGTTTGCCAACAGATAGGCTTTGTTGTCCAGTAGCCTCACCCTCATTTGGTGTAATATCTCAAATGCTGGAACAGCAAGCAGACTGGTGTAGAATAAAGCCATCAGCACTGCTGCCAGGCTGTTTGATACTCCCATGCACAAACACATCGCATTCCAGTTGCTCATTCAGGGAGTGGTTCCCCTTGTGTTTCTGATATATCTCTTGATTCAAAAGCCATGCCTAACATGAGTTCATCAATGAAGACTGCACCAGGAGAAAACCTGCTATTCTAATGAAGTCATGTTCTGTCTGATACCCTCTGGCCAGAATTAATGCAATGTATTCCCCTCTCCTGACAGACAGTGTGTCAATGACTGCTCCAACATTGCAGTAGAGATGACCCACAAGATGCTAAGAAATGCCAGCTGCTGCAAGCAGAATGGACCCTCACACGTGACTTCACGAGTACTGTCACTGTTACAGTCACTGGCAATGCCATCCTCGTCCTATTCCCAGACAGTAGGTCTGCCCATGGCAAATGGCAAATTCCAGTGAGCCCCTCCTCTGTAAAATAAAGATGTTGCACTCTCTATCTCTGAGTGAGATAGCAATAGGGGAATGACTGTTCAAGAACCCTTGTGGGAATGGCCATGTCATGATCTTCTCTTCTTCCTCCTCCATCTTTAGCTATTTGTCCTTTACTGTGCAGCCCACACTCATTCGCCCTGTCATGTTGCAGGCTAAGGGAATGGAAACTGAGTGCCCAGAAGTGGGAACAAATGGTTTGAGTGCAACAAAGCGTCGAAGACAGAATCAAGCCTTCACTGCAAGTAACAGCGCTCCTTCTAGACTTCACATTAAATATGAGTGGAAACCAGAACAATTCAGCTAAAGGCAGCTAAAATCAATCAAAAACTAATCTGATTAGCATTAAATTTAAAGCTTCTTTCTGCTCGACAATTAGTGAGAAAGCATGTTAGCTCCAGTGTTGAGATCAAAACCTGTACTGCTATAGTCAGCTTAGCATTGCATACTGACTGATGGCACAGTCTGCTTATTCTGTACACTCCCAAGGGTCTTTTCATCTTGAATGGGATGTGGCATTACTGACAAGGCCCGTATTTGCCCGTCCCCACTTGTCTTTGAACTGAGTATTTTGGTAGGCAATCTTAGAAGAGGAGTCAGCCACACTGCTGTGTGTCTGGAGTCACATCGAGACCAGACCAGGTGAAGTGGCAGATTTCCTTCCATACAGGGAAGCAGATGGGTTTTACAACAACCAATAGTGGCTACATGGTTGTCATTGAATTGCTTTAAATTTCACCATTTGGCATGGTGGCATCTGAACCCATGACCCTAGAATATGAATCTAGGGTTCTGGATGAATAGTCTATTAACATTACCATGACACCACACCTCCCAATATACTCACATAGTATCCTTATCAAAATGCCATTCATTGTGACCTTCACTGTGGTATCAAATCAATTTTTCACCAAAACTCCAACTGGAGTATAGTGACTTTAATATTGAGCACTGTAGAGGCAGATTGTGCAGCCCTGGTCACTCACTCTGAAGGAAATATTTGCATTTATGTTTCTCATTTCAAAAAGATGACCTCACATTACTCCTACGTGGAACACTACCACATAGAAACGAAATCTATTAGGACTAACACTGTGCATTGAATATTTAAATTGATATTAATTCTGAAAATGACCATCTGAGATTTTCACACAGATTGAGCCATTTTAAAATCTGATGGAATTTGAATCAATCGCATCTCAGCATGACAATGGTAAAATGGCAGAATTACTGTCTGATGCTCACCACTTACCTTGATCTGGAGCACTCCCTGTTTGGGGACACTGTCCATCATGAAATAAACATGCTGTCGTGAAGTATCCTTATCCTCAGCTTCCAGCACTGCACTGGAGATGATTCTGCTATGCCCAATCTCCACCTCCAACTCACTGTTTCTGCAAAAGGTGAATTAATTCAAGATGGTGAACAAACCCCAACAAAATGACTTGGAGAAGATTGTCAGCACATGTTTAAAGGTCTCATTACATCACCCTCCATAGGACTTTGCTGTTCATTTGTAACATCTTATCATATTTATCATTTATTTAAGTGATACAGTGCTGCAAAGAGTCCCACGTGAATTGTGGACTATTTACCTTTGACCCATTACAGAAACCACAATTTGTATGAATGCCGAGGATTTAATTGGTTACAAAGTTCCCATTTGAGTGACTGATATGTTCTATTCCTCAGAGATATGAAGAAATGAGATAGACTGATTTTTTCATGAGAACAGTGTTATTCATTGGTTTACAACATCTCCAGCCTGGTGCTTCTAGTTCATTTCTCCTTCCTTGTGACCTACCCACAGTCTTGGCTATAATGTACTACACAGAGAACAGACAACAGACATGCAATCAACATCAAACAACAGTGGCAGAATCACAAACAAGGGATTTCCGCATATTTTATATTCTTACTCAGGACCAAGGGAATGAATTTTCCTGGTCCTGATTGAGCAGAATGGAACTAGAGCTGAGAAGAAAATGCCCACCAAGTGGTACAGCCTCAAGTCCACCTCAGGTCTCCACACTCTCCCATCTTCCCAAGAAAGAAGTAAGCCTGTCTCGTAACAGTCCACTTCTGGTTTACCTTGTAGTGAGCTCATCAAGGGTCCACTTCACTAAGTATTTTTAAGCTTTCAGCAGCTGTCTGTCATGTTGGACCATACAGACGGAAGCAAGAGCCATGCAACTGAGATCAGAACAGTTTTCAAAACTAAGTTACTATTTAAGCAAAAAAGGTTTGCCACTTTGTAGTTCCACTACAAGTCAAGGAAGACCCTGAATTAAGAATTGTACTAGTTCAGGATGTCATAACTCTTCTGGATTCACAACGGCATCAGGGAAATAGGCACAGCTGTTTAAGGTGTTCATATTTGGAAGATGGCGATGGTTAAGTAGGCAATGCTTGGGCTTCTGTGCCCAGGCTTGTCCTCTGTCTGTTTTTTCCCTCCTTACAATTACTAAGTTGGTTAGTGAAGGTTGACCATATTTAGTGCAAATATATCCAGGATGTTGAGGGCTATTGATTACCTGAGCCTTTAGACTCAGAATCTTTAGACTGGGGGAGGGTGTTACTGTGAGAAAATTCAGCTTGAAATGTTTGCATTCCCTCTGGAACTTGATCATCTGCATCCAGCAGCATTTTACACAAATAAATAAAAAAAACATAGATTTAATATGCTGAAGATGCACCATCTCAATTCCCACACTCAAACACTAACATTTGGCTTGAACAGCAGCTTTTTCAATCTCAAATAAAATCAAAGCAAAAAAAAAAAGTCATCCCTCAAGATTGCTCCAACATTCAATACTGATATTGCCCTCGGCTCAACTCCATTTCTCCATCCTCTATCATATACAGTACTTCTTCAAGAGGCCAAAATTCTGTCTTTCCCAGTCTTAAGTGTATGACACGAATGAGCATCTGCAATTATTTGGGTTATAGAGTTCCAAAGATTTCTATTCCTTGACATACATTCCTAAATGCACAGAATCGTACTTTACAGACAATTTCCCAAGCATCAACATCACTATACCAAGGTACGTCCTGGCTTGGTAAGATTTACTCAGCAAGTCTAATAAATTGAATCTACACTCCATGATATCTCAAGGCATCAGGCCAAACAGGGGCAAGAAATCTGCCCGCTACTTATTACTCCGCTCGGCAGATGAATCAGTACTCCTCCACATTGAGCATTAAGTACAGGAAGCACTGACAGCGATACAGGCACAAAATGGATTTTGGTGGGGGATTTCACTGTCTCTCAAGAGTGGTCTGATTATACCACTACTAACTGAGGACAAGTGGACATTGCTGCCAGACTGCGGCAGGAAGTGAGGAAACAAGCAAGATCATGAAACGTACTCAACCTCATCATCAGCAATCTGTTCCTTTGCAGATGAAATTCTCCATGACAGTATCAGTAGGCATTATCACTGCACAGTCCTTGCAGAGACAAAGTCCTGTTTCACATTGAGAATATCTTCCATTGTGTTGTAGAATCATAAAAGGAGATGACCATTTGTCCCATCGTTTCTGTATCAGCTCCTGAAAGAGCTACCCAGCAAGTCCAATTCTCTGTAGCCCTCTAAATTCATTACTGTCAAATATATATCCAGTTTTCTTTTGAAATCTCCTACGGAATCTACCTCTACCACTCTCGTAGGCAGCGCAGTCCAAATCGTAGTCACTATCTGAGTAAAAGAGTTTGTCCCCAACTCACTTCTAACGCTCTTGCTGACTGCCTTGAAAGTATTACTTTTAGTTACTGACTTAGCTGCTAATGGAAACAATAAATACTTCTTTACCCTGTCAAAATTGTTAATAATTAATCTTAATCTCTGTTCAGTGGGAAGTAAGCCCAATTTCTTGAATCTTTCTTTGTATCTAAGATCCCTCATTCTTGGTGTCAGTCTTGTAAATCTCCTTTGCACTCTCTCCAGGGCTTTAACATTCTACCTTAAGTAAGGTGCCCAGAACTGAACAGACCATCACCATGCTGAATGGCACAGAGTTTAAACAAATTTAGCAACTCAAGACTGATCATCCATGACACACAATAGGCCATCAGCAGCTTTAGGACTGTGTTCAACCATAATCTGTAACCTCAGATGCCCAGCATGTCTCCCATTCTCCCATTACTTTAAAGCTGGGGGATCAACCTTGGTTCAAAGAAGTGTGCATGAAGGCATACAAGGAGCAGAACCAGGCATACATTAAAATGAGGTGTCAATTAAATGAAGTTACAAGAATTAGTCACATTCCAAATAACAGAAGCAATAGTCAACAGACAGAGCTAAATGTCCAGGAGATAATTCGCTGCTGGTTGTAGTCTTAACTCACACAAAGGAAGATTGTTGTGGTTGTTAGAGTCAGCCGTCTCAGTTCCAGGGCATTACTGCAGAAATTCTTCAGGGTATTATCCTATCCCAACCATCTACAGCTGCTTCATCAATGACCTTCCCTCCATCATAAGGTCAGGAAAGGGTGCATTCGCTGATGATTGGTACTACATTCTCAAATATCCATTCCCTCCACCACTGACGCTCAATAGTAGTGTGCACCATCTACAAGTTGCACAGCAGAAATTCACCAAGGCTCCTTAGACAACACCTCCCAAACACATGACACCTACCGTCTAGAAGGACAAAGGCAGCAGATACATGGGAACACCTCCTGCAAGTTTACATCCAAGTCATTCACCATCTTGACTTAGAAATACAAATGGAGAAAGTTTCTTCCCACCTTCCCTGTCATTGCCTCTCATAACTTTATACATTTCAATCATGTTCCTCTTCATTCTCCTCAGCTCCAAGGAAAACAACCCCAGTCTCTCTTCAACTCTCCAACTCAGGTAACGTCTTATATAATTCCAGTATCACTTGGTCTTAGACTCTATGCTTCAGCTAGTAAAGGGTAAACCCTCTGAATCACTTTATCGACCTTAGGGACTGATGGACACGCACACCAAGATCCTTCTGATCCTTGGTGCTTCCCAGGATCCTATTGTGCATCATGTATTCTCTTGCCTTGTTTATCCTGTCTTCAAACTTATCCAGAGATAGTAGGAACTGCAGATGCTGAAGAATCTGAGATAACAAGGTGCAGAGCTGGATGAACACAGCAGGCCA